CCTCCGGCATGGCAGGAACTACATAGTCCTGAGCAACTGCAACCGACTGGGCTGGATGTGCCCCCGGTGCTTGAATCCTCTGCACGACCTGCTCTGGTGTGCTTTCGGCGGGAGTCTAATTGCCTTCCCCGGCCTGAGAAATAGCTACGGCTGTAGTGGCTGAAACCGCCTAAGCTAGGCCAGTGCAAACTGATAAGATTGGAGCCAAGGCCTCCTGAAGACCTGGAATAACAATGGGCACAGCTGGTGCCTGAGCTAGAGTTGCTGGAGCGCCCACAACCGGGACATGATCCTAAACTAGGGTAGCTGGTGGATGTGCAGGTGCTGTCCTAGCTGCTCTACCCCTACCATGACCACGACCGCGTCCTCAACCTCTAGTAGCCATGGCTGGTGGTACTGGCGATCGTTCATCCTAACCAGTAGCATGTGTCCTAACCATCTATGAGAGAATAGAATAACAGAAGTTTAGTACTCGAATAAACAAATTCGCACAACAAGAATTTCAAGAATATAAAGTTTATCCTAAAGGTTCTGCAGCCTCTCGAGGATAAATACAGATGTCTCTGTACCGATCCGCAAGACTCTACTAAACCTGCTCATGACTCGTGAGACCTATGTAACCTAGGCTCTGATACCAAATTGTCACGACCCTAATCCGGACCCGGTCGTGATGGTGCCTCTCGTGAAGAGAAGGCCAGCCAACACTTCCTATTTTCCAATTATTAACAGTTAAGCATTTATGAAACGGTCTAAACATGATAAAATAAATCCTAAATAACTATGATAACATAAATACGCGGAAGAACACCCATACATAGCCCTAACCACGGTGTCACTAGTCATGAGCATCTATAAATCATAATGCAAATATACTAAGTCAATAAACTAGTACAACTCTCTGAAAAGAGATAGAAGTGATAAAGGAGTAGATGCACGGGGCTGCGGACGCCCACAGCTACCTCGTAAACTCCGAATTTTCGCCTGAAGCTGGAGGGATCAACACTTTAGGAGCGGAACCAGCTGCTCCTGAATCTGCACACAGGGTGCAGGGAGTAAAGTGAGTACTCCAATTCACTGAGTAACAAATGTAAATAACGACTAAAAATAAGAAAACACGTAAGGCACAAGGCATTCTATAATTAAGTAGTAAAACCATTTAAAAGCAATAAACAAGTTATAAGTTAAGTAACAATCCTTTTTCAACAAGTAAACAGGTAATTGATAGGCAGTTATGGTAAAGTAAACAAATAGAAGTTTGCCCTTCGGGCACAGTATTAACAAATCCGCCCCTTGGGCAACATCTCAGAACAGTACCGGCCCCTCGGGCTCAATCTCACATCACAATGGGTACCCGCGCTCACTGGGGGTGTACAGACTCATGGAGGTGCCCCTTACAAAGCAAGCGCAATATCAAGCCACCTCGTGGCATCATTACTAGGCCCTCGGCCTCGTATCAATAAATCCATCTCGTAGCGTACATATCTCAGGCCCTCGGCCTCATAATCAGTATCAAATGTTTCCTCACAACATAGGCCCTCGGCCTTACTTAGTCAAAAATCCTTACAAGTCACTCGGGCAGTCGTAAAACATGTTTCTCAGCCCAAAATATCATATAAAAGATCATGTAAGTGGTAAAACAGAGTAAACATGGCCGAGTACGAAAAACGATGAAATATAACATGACTGAGTTCAAGTATAAAGTCAAAATAATGAGGAAATACCAGTAAAAATCCCCGAAGGGTTCAAATAGTTGGCATAAGGCCAAACTATGGCATTCTGCCCAAATAATGATGATAAAAAGTAGATTTCCATCAAATACACGATAAAATCATCAATCCGGACGGACCAAGTCACAATCCCTAATAGTGCATGACCCCAAGCTCGTCATCAAACGTGTACCTCGCCTTAATATAGCACTACGATATGAAATCCAGGGTTTCAAACCCTCAGAACATCATTTACAATAATTACTCACCTAAAACCGGTCAAATCTCTAACTCGCGATGCCTTTGCCCCTCGAATTAGCCTCCACTCGCGTCGAATCTATCCAAAATCAGAATGAGGACGTCAAAATATGCTAATGGAACGAAGCTCAAGAAAAAATAATCAATAAATGGCACAAATCCCGAAATTACCAAAACCTGACCCACGGGACCACGTCTCGAAATTTGATAATTTCTACATCAACGGAATCCTTATCCTCCTACAAGTTTATACATATCAAGAACACTGAAATCAGAGTCCAAATGGCCCCTCAAATCCCCATTTATAGGCCTCTTAAACTCAAGCCCTGATCCCCAATATTTCTTCCTTAATCTCCACTAAAATCATGATTAAATAATGGAAAATAGATCTTAAACCCAAGTAATTAAGCTTAGGGAGCTTACCCAACTGGTATCCTTTGATCCCTCTTGAAATCCTATGCCTTAGCCTCTTTCCCGTCTTCAAAAATGATAAACTTAGCAAAATTTGGCGAAGAAAAAAATTTATACCTTCTGCCCAGACCTTTTTGCATCTGCAGTCCCATACCCGTTTCTGCGGTACCGCTATTGCGGTTCAACATCTGCTTTTGCGAAATCACTTAAGTTCCCAGCCATCCGCATCTGCGGTTCTTCGCCCGCATTTGCGACATCGCAGATGCGGTTCTCCTAGCCCTTTCTGCGATCCCAGTCAAACATACCTCTGGTCGCTTCTGCGACTACTCTCTCGCATATGCGTCGCCGCAACTGCGGTCCCCAATCCGCAGGTGCGAAAATACCAGAAACAACAATTCAGCAGCTGCAACAAAATCCAAACATCCCGTTAACCTTCCGAAATCACCCCGAGGCCCCGGGACCTCAACCAAAAGAACAAACATATCCTAATACCTTATTCAAACTTGTTCCAATCGTCAAAACACCTCAAACAACATCAAATCACTCAAAACACATCGAATTCAAGCCAAACTTTCAAAAATCTTCCGAATTCTGCTTTTGATCAAAAACCCAACCAAACCACGTCCGAATGACCTGAAATTTGCACACACATCCCAAATGACACAACGGAACTACTGCAACTCTCAGAATTTCATTCTGAACCCTATATCAAAATTTCGCGTATCAACCGGAAATGGCCAAAATCTCAACTTCGCCAATTCAAGCCTAAATCTCCGAACCTGCAAAACTTATTCCGATCGCACTCCTAAGTCAAAAATCACTTCCCGAAGCTAACCGAATCATCAGAACTCTCATCCAAGCCCTCTAACACATAAGTCAATATTCGGTTGACGTTTCCAACTTAAACTTCCTTAAAAGAGACTAAGTGTCTCAAACCTTACCAAAATTATTCCGGACTTGATCCGACCAACCCGATACTATATAACACGGATAANAAAGAGACTAAGTGTCTCAAACCTTACCAAAATTATTCCGGATTCGCTCCAACCAATCCGATACCATAAAACATGGATAACGAAGCATAAAAAAATAAAAATGGGGAAAACAGAGTGGTAACTCATGAGACAACTGGCCGGGTAATCACATCTAGTATTGTTCTTATCCCTTTCTCCAAAAGCCTTGCTTCCGGAACCAGACTTGCCATTTCATTCGATTTCAACGCTAAGTCTTATTTTTTTATTTAATTTATTTATTATTTTGTGGTAAAATCAGTTCTCTTGTCTATAAATCATACAAAAAATTCAACTGTACTATTTTACAGATAAACAATTTGGCGCCCACCTTGGGGCTTAGACAGCTGCATAATTGAGTTGATCCTTGCGTCTATTACTAACTTGTTTGATTCTTTGTTTCATAGCAAAATAAAAAAATGGAAGCTAATGATGTCATCACCACACACAACGTTAAGGCACACGAAAATCTGCCTCAACATCAGGAGTCAATTAGTGACACCCGCAACAAGGGGGACGTAGCAACTCGTCCATGACGGGCAATATCCCTGAGCACGTTGCAAAAACAGTAAGGATCTTGAGAGAGCAGCAAAAGACCATCATGAGTCATCTCTCAAGGCAAGACTAGGTCATGACAAAACTAAAGCAGGCATTATCAGGCGCTTCCAACAATGCGAATGGAGGAGGCCCAGTTCCTTCCGGTGCTCCTGCAAATCAAACAGCTCAAAGAATTGACAACAACAACCCGAGGGATGAGGTTGGCTTCTACGGAGTCGGGGGGATCGGTGGCGGATCCGGTAATGATAACAACAATGATACTTTCAAAATAAAACTCATGAGATTCATGAGGAAAATGAACAAGCGGATGGATCAGAACGCGAAAGAGTTCCAAGCTCAAATGGCCCAAATTCCAAGCGCACCACCAATGTTTAAAGGCCCGGACTCGAAGAAGTATACTCAATTGCCGTTCAAAGCGAGCACCGCACTAGAATTAATTCTGAAACGGTTCAAAGTGCCAGACATTCCGAAGTATGATTGGACTTTAGACCTTCAGGAGCACATCACAACTTATACAATGGCAGTAAAAGGAAATGACTTGGCCTAACATGAGATTGAGTCGGTCCTGCTGAAGAAATTCGGAGAACCCCTCACATAGAAGGCCTTGACATGGTATTCACTCTTACCTGAATACTCAATAGATTCCATTAGGATGCTCGTAGATTCTTTCATTAAGGCCCATGCCGGAGCCAAGAAGGTCCAGGACCGAAAAGTGGACATATTTAGAATTTCACAAGGAGAGTCCAAGTTGCTGCGTGAGTTCGTGATCAGGTTTCAACACTATTACAAAAAGGGAATATGGCGGTAATTATTTAGTGTCAATAAGTCAATTGCCGCTAATAGATTCTATAAGATGAAATATTAGCGGCAAATGACCATTATCCAGTAAAAAAATCCTTTTACCGACAATAACAATAAATTGCCATTAGAAATTATTGATTGACTTTTAGCGGAATAGTTTTTTCTTTTATTTTAACTTTTCCTCCCTTCCCAAAAAATAAATTCTTCCCTCCAAAAATTTTGGACAAGAATGAACGATTCCCTCCGATCAGAAAATAATACGAAAACCTCTTTCTTTATCGAAAGTAATACGGAAGAGACGGGCGATTAAAAAAATCGCACATATAGGTCTCTGGCCAGCCTTTTCCCTAGAAAACTGCTCTTCTTCCCCAGGTATCTTCACTTTTTACCCAATAGATGCGATTAATAGTTGAGTTTGGATTGTGCTGCTCGATTATCCTCTATCGTCGTTGTTAGTATTCTCTGTTTTATCTGTTTCCCACTTCTCTTTTCATGTAGATTTCAATATTTTCGCAGAACTCGTTCTTCTCCTTCAATTTCTAGTCTTTATCGACAAAATAATTTGCTTACCAGGTACAAACTTGTGACTTCAACTGTTGTGATTTGTGATTTGTAAAAGTACATTTTTTTCTGCATATGCGAGTCGTTTGTGATATCCGGTCACTGTTAAATTGACATGCGATGATTGGGTATATTCCTCCTCTGTTCCTTGACTGGTTTATGATTCAATTCGTCTATTTTCTGCTATTCTTGTGATTATTCAAAAAATTTATAAGTGTCGCCGATGCATATTGATGTTTTCATTGAATCTACCACTAGTTGAGATATGAATTCCTCTATATGTTTTCTGTTATTCTTGTCATTGTTCAGAAATTTTAAGTGTCGTCGATGCATATTGATGTTTTCATTGAATCTACCACTAGTCGAAATGAATTTCTCTGTATATTTTCTGTTATACTTGTGATTGATGTTTTCATTGAATCTACCACTTGTCGAGATAAATTCCTCTTTATATTTTCTGTTATACTTGTGATTGTTCAAAAAATTTCTAAGTGTTGTCGATGCATATTGATGTTTTTATTGAATCTACCACTAGTCGACATATAAATTCCACCATGTTTAAAATATTTGCCCGAGTATGACATATATACTGTCTTTTATTATTTTGTTAGTAGATGGTTTAGTGTGTCGTTAGGCTTATTGCTGGTTTTTTACTTATTACAAAGCGAGTTTTTGTGGTTAAAAGGTTCTGAAAACTAATTTACATCTTTTAGTCCTCCTTCTTGCCCTTTCTCGAGTTGTGGGTTCTGTTCTTCAGAAATTGATGATCTACATAGTATTTTCAAAATGTTGAATTTGGTACTATGCTTTAAGCCAAGTTGAGAGTGTTTTCAAATTCCTTTGATTTGGTCTAATGTTAAAGTTTGTGAACTATCAAGAAAAGTGCATTTGATGAGTTTCCTAGGTTGTGTTTGCTAAGTGTTGAGTTATGTGTTTTCTCTTGATATCCATCCCAACTGATTAGTTGTGGCACTGTTGAATCTTATAGGTCTCATATTGACTTGTACTAAGCTAGAATTTTTGGAATAATACAAAAATTTTGAAGGTGTTAATGCAATAATTTGCTTCAACCTGAAGTAAAATGGAAAACTGTAATTTGGACTTGGGATGATGGGCACTTGGCTTGGAAAGTTACTATGTTTGTGTTAAGAAAAGTGGCGGAGCGGAGATATTCTGAACCCTGATGAACTTTTCTTATGTTGGTCATTTCCTGATACAAAGAAGCCACTAGGTGTCTTATAATGAGTCGGGGGGCTTAAAACTTAGAGCTTTTTGCTGCTGAGGATTGGCAAGTATGGTTTCCCCTATGTTGTTTCTTCCTTACTGTCATATACGGAAATGGCTTTCATGTATCTATTTTTTACTTTCAATCTCAGTTTCATTATGTCACAACTATATCCAATTGACCCTTTAGATCATTCTCAAAAAATCCCGAGAAAAAGTATCACACAATAGCTTATTTTTTTGGGGTCCAACTAGTAGTAGTTTCCCTCCATGAACACTTTACTCTTAAATATCTATCTTGTGTTAGTAAGTGGAGTCTCGGCAAGAGAAAATAGAAGTTTTTGCCTTTTGCTTTTCTTAAGATCTTATATGTTGTCCTTGTCCTCTATTTAATTGTTTTCCTCTATGTATTTACTATGTGAAGGAGAAATGTAATTTTTTATTTTCCTTTATTGCCTCTATGAACTCTGAAACACGTGAGGAAGTAGCTATTAAGAAGATTGGCAATGTATTTGATAATAGAATTGATGCAAAAAGAACATTGCACGTAAAAACTTTATGGCATTGATTACATAATTGAACTCTCATGACTGAAGGTGTTTAAAGGAGATAGGATAGACCTAAAATCTCTTGAAAGGAAGTCTCCTTAAATACTTGCAATCTCTGGGAGTTCATACTAAGCAAACAAAAAGAATGCAATGAAAATAAAAAATCTGCATACATGATTAAAGCTTAGTCGTGTCCGTCAATTACATATTAAGTTAATAATCTTTGTAGTGTATTTAGAGATTTGTTTAAGGAGTTTCGTGCATTTAAAGATTTGTACATGGAGTTTCTAGTTTTGGAGAACTCCGATCCATGGAGTGTCAGAATAAAACATGTCAAAATGGAGCGAAAACATAGACTTAAGATTCATGTAGCTGACCCTAACTAGTTTGAGATTGAAGATGAACAAGACTGTTTTTTGTGGTACAACAACATAAATGATTTTTTTCTCTTAATTTTCAGCACAACGTACAAAATAAGTGATTCCAGTAGTGTAATAATCATCCATAGAGTTAGTCCCTTACTCTCTTTATCACTACCATCAGACAACTGCCTATTTTTTTGCCTTTCGCTAAACAAACATTTACATATTTGATATTGAGTAATTCAACTATATTGTCGTCTTTTTTAGAGCGCTTTCTTGGTGTCTGATCATTTGCTTCACGCAACCGACAATATGCTTAGGCTCAGCTAATGATGTCATCTTTTTGATTTCTTGCATAATTGTTGGTTTCAATTTCATATACATGAAAAAGATAATTTTTTTATAGAGGAATGATTCCCTTGTTTGAGAATAATATTTGTGTACTATTCCCAATTTTGGAAGAGCATAATGATCAAATTCTTATTTTTCACGCAAGTTCAAGTATATCATTAAGGTCTACGCGACCAGGAAAGACTTCTCTTTACCATAAGAGAATGACTTTATGTATTAAAAAAATTATAATATTTTAACAAGATTAGTTGGATTACAAACTGGAAAATTGAATCGAGAAAATCAAACCGAGAAAAGAAAAACTGAACAAAATAGCTATTGTCGAATAATTGAGAAGAGATAAAAGAGAAGAATGAGATAAACGAATATATCCAGAACTTTGTTCTTTGTTGTACAATAATCTTTGAGCTATGAAATTACATACTAATAGGATGGTTATTTAGAATGAGATAAACGAGTATATCCAGAACTTTGTTTTGTATTGTACAATAATCTTTGAGCTATGAAATTACATACTAATATGATGGTTATTTTATTACATTTTGATTAATTTCCTCTTTTTACTAACGAATTTTTAGCTCTTGTAGTAAGTGTAGAAAAGAAAAGAATATCTTGAACTTCATGGACAATCCTAGAAATAAAAGATGAATGCATTGTGATAGAGTTAGTAAAGAATATTTGGATGGAGTAGATGATTTTATAAACTATACCTTTTCTGTAAACAAGATGGAGAACATATTGCATATCCTTGTATGGAGTGTGTGCTTATCCATCAAGTTAATTAGGCTACAACACATGATCATCTTGTGATTAATGGTATTATGTCATCATATAATACTTGGTTTTGTCATGGTGAGTCTTTAAAGGATCAAGCAATGCTTAAACAAATAATCAAAGCCAGTCAACTCTAAGGGGTGATGATATGACATGAATGATACATGATGCCTTTAGAGGCTTTACACAGTTCATGGATACTAAAGTTAGTGAAAGGGGTAACATAAATCATAACCTTCAAGAGAATACTGCTCATCCATATGGAAATCAACCTCATGTAGAGGTGGATAAGTTTGAACGGCTCATGAAGGAGGCAAATGAAGAACTATATCCAGGATGTAAGAAGTTTAGCAAACTGTCCTTTTTGCTGCATATGTATCGTATAAAATGCATGTTCAAATGGTCAAATGAATCATTTAATGTTTTACTTGGACTATTGAAGGATGCGCTGCCTAAAGGGGAAAAATTGCATCGTTCTTTCTATGAGACCAAAAAGATAGTTGAAAGCTTGGGCTTAAAGTATGAAAAACTCCATGCTTGTCCCAACGATTACATGCTTTTCAAGAAAAGAGTTTGCTAATAAGAATGTCAATGAATGCAAAGTTTTTGGGGCTTCTAGATGGAAAAATTATGCTAGAAAAATTACAGCCAAGGTCCTTAAGTATTTTTCTTTAAAACCGAGGCTACAGAGATTGTTTATGTCATCAAAAACTTCTAAAACAATGCGATGTCATCATGAAGAGCGCAATAAAGATGGAGTTCTACGACATCCTGCAGATTCTGAAGCTTGAATACTTTTTGATAGTAAATATCCTGAATTTGCTGTAGACCCTCGCAATGTACGTCTATGATTAGATTCTGATGGGTTTAGTCCATTTGGCACATTGTGAATTGTTCACAGTACATGGCTAGTAATTTTAATGCCATATAATCTTCCACTATAAATGTTCATGAAACAAGAGTTCTTCATTCTGTCCTTACTTATTCCTGGACCATAAGCGCCTGGAAATAATATTGATGTCTTTTTGCAACCTCTAATAGAAGAGTTAAATGAATTATGTGATATTGGGGTAGAAACATATGGTGCCTCTTCTAAGGAGATATTTCAAATGCGAGCAGATCTCATGTGGACGATAAATGATTTTTCAGCATATGATACTCTCTCTGGATGGTGCACTTATGGCAGATTTGTATGCCCTTCTTGTAATATAAACACTCAATCTAGAAGCTCAAACATGGCAGAATTTTTTTTACATGGGGCATCACAGCTTCTTGAAGTCAGGACACAAATATCAGAATGATGCAAAATCATTCGATGGGACTAAAGAAACAAGATCCGTACCTTGTCCAATAACTAGTTCTGTAGTGCGGAATCAAGTTAAAGATATAAAATTTACTCTTAGCCAGTTAAGTGAAGTGGTAAATGGGGTGATAAAAAACACATGGAAAAAGAGAAGTATTTTTTTATCTTCCTTATTGAAAATTTAACTTGGTGCGCCATAATATTGATGTGATGCACATAGAAAAGAACGTGTGTGATAACATAATTTATACCTTATTAGATCTTGGTAGAAAGTCTGAAGAAAACTTAGAGGCTCGATTGGACTTGAAGGAGATAAAAATTAGATCAAGCTTATGGCCTCAGTACCGAGCTAGTGGTAGAACATATCTTCCTCCTACTTTTTTCACAATATCTCCGATGGAAAAAGAGTTATTTTATGAAGTACTACAAAATGCCAAGTTTCCAGATGGGTATGCGTCTAATATCTCATGTTGCTTTCGCAAACAATAGATATCTGGGCTAAAAACTCATGATTGTCATGTTATAATGCAAGAACTTCTTCCTCCTGCATTGCGGAGATCAGTAGATAAAAGAGTTAGTTCAATTCTAATTGAACTATACACATTCTTTCATGTACTGTATAGCAAAGAGATAAAACTAGAAGAGTTAAACTTACTTGAAGAAAATAGAAACATTGTCTACTATGGAGAAACGCTTCCTCCCAGGATTCATTACTGTTATGATACACTTGGTAATTCACTTAGCAACTGAGGCTAAACATGCGAGGCCAGTACATTATCGTTGGATGTACCCAATTAAGAGGTATGAAAAATGTCACTGAATCTTTATCTTATGTCTTTTGTTGTTAAATATTCTAATATCAAACTATTAATATTACTTTGTTCAATAGGTTTTTGGGTACTTTAAAATCATATGTTCGTAATCGTGCATGTCCAGAAGGTTCAATAGCAGAAGCATACATAGCAAATGAGTGTATGGTATTTTGCTCATAATATTTAGAGGTGGAGATTCAAGGTATTATTGTTCAAGAACATGCAGTAATGAGATTGAGCATGAGACTAGTAAAGAAGAATGTCTTTTTTCTACTGCTGGGGAGTCGTACGGTGGAGTAGATGTATTTGAGTTGGATGAGAAAACATGGTTGCAAGCACATCGGCATGTGCTTTTCAATTGTGAGTCAGAAGTGGTTGAGAATTATAAAAAGTAAGTGTTGTACCTATTATTTAATTTATGTATATTACTTATTTGATAACAAAATCGATATATACGAGTTACAAGATGTCACGACCCAACCCCCGAACCCGGTCGTGATGGCGCCTCTCGTGAGAACAAGGCCATCCAGACCAAAACGGAACACCTCCTTTTTAACAGTTAATCATCATAAACAGTAATAACATATAATGTAATACTCATAAATTGCGGAATTTAACGATAATAACCACAAGAACCATCCTGACACAGCCCAAATCGGGGTGTCACAAGTCATGAGCTACTACAGAATCTGCTATAGGTCTACAAAGTACGGAATCCGACACAACAGTCTGAAGAAAACATAAATGATAGAGGATAAGAGACACAAGGGGCTGTGGGCGTCTACAGCTACCTCGTAACTCCAAATCACTGCCTAGCCTGGAAGGAATCACCGCTCAGGTGCAGACTCTACTATACCTGAATCTACACACACGGTGCAGGGAGTAATGTGAGTATTCCGACTCAGTGAGTAATAATTATAAATAATGGCTGAAAGTATGAAAACATGTAAAGGTACAAAGCAATTCCATATCAAGCAGTAAAAATCACTTAAAGCAGTAAATCAGTGAAGAAATCAAATGATATTCCTTTTAAAACAAGTAAAACCGGTAATTTAACAGGTAAATAACAAGTAGAAATCCGCCCCTCGGGCACAGTATCAATCGCTCAGCATAGTATCAGCCCCTCGAGCTCAGTATCAATCACTTAGAATAGTGTCAGCCCCTCGGGCTCACTCTCAGAATAGTATCAGCCCCTCGGGCTATCTCACGATCACTCATATCAGCCCCTCGGGCATAGCATCAATCACTCAGAACAATGGGTACCCGCGCTCACTGTGGGTGTACAGACTCTGGAGGG